CCATATAAGCAATACACTGCACTAGATGTTGTATCACATCTTTATAAGCTTCTCCTGTTCTAGCAGAAGCAAAGATGATGTGAGAGCAAGTGTCAATAGTAACATGTACAAAAGCAAGTTTTCCAAATTCTTGTATATGGGTAACATCCATTTGCCATAATACATTAGGTTTTAATCCCCTAGGATTAACTCCCATCTGTAGGGAGGGAATATGTATTACACAAGTGGGAGAGTTTTTACTATTTGATGGGCTTGTTCCCTAGTAATTTTAAACTGTAGTCTTAGAGCAGTGGCATTTTGGTGATGGAGAGCATGTGACTGTACAGCTTCCTCATTTACTGTGAATATTTTCTGCTTGGTAAGCAAGTCAGCTAGCCTGTTACCTTGTACCAAAGGCCCTTCTAGAGAAGTATGACTGCGAATATGTCCTATATAAAAAGGAGCATTTCTATGCTGGATAACTGTCTGTAGTTTTGTAAGTAAATGACTAATAGCTGATTGACTGGAAATAAGGGCTGTTTCTATAGCTGGAAATAAATTTACTATATAAGCAGAATCTGTGTAAAGGTTAAAAGATCCTGTAATCTGTGAAAAGCCTGCAACTACCGCCTCTATCTTCGCTCCTTGAGCAGAAGTTTTGGCAGTTTGCTGAACTCTCTCTCCTGTGGGCCAGATAGTAACTGCTTTTCCGTTAGAAGAGCCATCTGTAAATAGAGTCGCAGTGGGAGGAGGAAGTGGGTTACTACTATGTAGTGTAGGAAAAATTATAAGAGTAGATTTTAAGAATTGTAATATAGGATCAGATGGTAGATGATGTGTGACCTGTCCTGTAAATCCTGCTAATGAAATACCCCATTGATCTACTAGCTGATACAGTTGATCACATTGCTCTTTGGTATAAGGAAGAATAATCTCATGCACATCAGCCCCAAATAGTTCTTTGCTACGGTTTCTTCCTTGCCAAATAAGTACGGTGACTAAGTGTGGGTAGAAAGAAATTACTCGTTTGGGTGTGGAAGGGAGATGGGTCCATTCAAGAGGAGCATTTTGCCATAAACATCCCATTGGGGTGTATTCAGTTTTTAATATAATTAATTGCCAAGGTTTGTCGTAATTTACTTGATATAATTTATTATGGTTTAGAGCCTCATTTACTTTCTCTAGAGCTCTTAAGCCCTCCGGAGTCAGCCTCCTGGTAGATGTAGGGGAACTATCTCCTTTCAGGATATCAAATAGAGGTTTCAAGTCTTTAGTAGTTAATTTTAAAAATGGCTGAACCCAGTTTATATCCCCCAGTAATTTCTGGAAATCATTTAAAGTATTAAGAGTATCATGTCTTATTGCTATGCTTTGAATAGCTATCACAGGGGATTTTATAAGTCTTCCCAAATAATTAAATGGTGGATTTTCTTGAATTTTTTCTGGGGCTACTACCAACCCAACTGTTTGCAATTGTTCTATCATGAAATGTAATGCCTGATATAGTAACTGTTTGTCCTGATGTGCCAATAGGATATCATCCATATAATGAATTATATAAATAGTTGGAAACTTGCTTCGGGTGCTCGTTAAGGCAACATCAACAAATTTTTGGCATAACATAGGACTATTTTTCATGCCCCGAGGGAGGACTTTCCATTGATACCTTTGGTAAGGTCTTTGTAAATCTGAAGAAAGTAGGCTAAAAGCAAATCTTTTACAGTCTGTAGGTGCTAGAGGGATGGTAAAAAACAATCCTGTAAATCTATGGTAATTATATTGCTGTCACGAGGGACAGCTACTGGAGAAGGGAGCCCTGGTTGTAAAGTGCCCATAGTCACCAGTTTTATTTACTGCTCTTAAATCCTGTAATAGCCTCCATTTACCTGATTTCTTTTTTATAACAAAAATAGGAGTATTCCAGGGGCTGAGGGCTCTATATGTCCTAATCTTAGTTGTTCTTCCATCAATTTTGTATCCACCTGTAATTTTTCATAGTTAATGGCCACTGCTCAACCCATACAGGTTCCTCTGATTTCCACTGAATAGTGTTCGCATGAAAGGGAGCAGTGGCCTCTAGGATAAAAAAGCATCTTGCATATGTGGGACCTCAATTGTCATGTTTATTTGAGATAGAAGATCCCTTCCCCATAAGGTAAGAGGTAAAGAGGGAATCATATATAGTTGGAAAGTACCTTTATGGTTGGAATCCTCACTGGCCCAATGCAAGATCCTTTGACTTTTAGCTATATAGGAGGCCATGCCCAATCCTATTAGGGCAGTCGGGCTCCTTGTAGTAGGCCACCCACTAGGCCAATCTTTTCCAGCTATGCAAGAGACATCTGCCCCAGTATCTATCAATCCCTCTATTTCTTTCCTTCTATTAATAACGTTTTCATGGGGCTTTCTAATTTTTTGCACCCATGCAACCACATCTGTAGATCCAAATCCTTGTTGTCCTCTACATTCTTGTATTGTGTGGGAAGGCATCATCAAATATGGGAGTAATAATAACTGAGCAATTCTTTGCCCAGGAAATAGTTGTACTGTCTTATTTGGAGACTGTACCATTATTTTTATTTCTCCAGTGTAGTCAGAGTCGGTAACTCCTGGGAGAATAAGCCCTGCTCTACAACTTGAGCTTCTTCCTATTATTAATCCTAAGTATCCTTTTGGTAATAGTCCAAAAATTCCAGAGGGAGAGTAACCTCTCCCTCTGATGTGATGACATGTTTACTGACAGGCAAATCTAATCCTGCACTTTCTGGGGTTGCCCTGGCCAGGTCATGAATGGATAACTTTGCATGGTTTGGGGTCCCCAGTTGGTTTTGGGGACCAGGGAGCACCCCCAGAACGGGTTTTTTGATTCCATAGACATATTCGTAGCTTGATTGGGAGGACCAGTTGGGCCAGTTTTTGGTGTAGTAGGCTCCCCATCCACTAATGGGTGACCATCCTTATGAAATTTTGACTTGCACTCTTTACCCCAATGGTATCCTTTTTGACATTGAGGACAGAGGGATGTAGGTTTCCCTTTTAAATCAGGCTTAGCACTATCCCCTGCATTTTTTCCAGGGCATTGTTTCATAAAATGCCCTATTTCTCCACAATTGAAACAACCTCAGTTCTTTCCATTCTTATTATTATTGGGTTTATACATTTACTTAAGGAACTGAGTATAAAGTTTCCCATTCATAGCCACAGCCATAGCTACCCCTTGAATATATGCTGGAGAAGCTTCAAGACAAGCTCTAACATAATCATTAATAGTGCCTGTTCTCCTAATGGGTCTTAAAAGAGCCTGACAAGTTGGATTCCCATTTTTATAGGCCAATTGCTTCAAAACCATCTCAGCTGCTTCAGGGTTTTGGATGGCTCTTTGTACAATTTCTTCCAATTAGTAAGAAATTCTTCATACGGCTTTTGAGAAGTCTGCTTTATATTACTTAAGAAAGTTGTTTTTGTCTCTGGGTATGGGAGTTGTCACCAAGCAGAAACCACTAGCTTCAAGACTTCCTCCAAGGCCACTCGGCAGATTGAGCTGAGCTTGTGGTGTTAGATATTCTCCTGTGCCTAAAAGCATAGAAAATGTCAACCTCTCTCTCCCCCCGAGCCTTTTTTTTTTTTTGAGACAGAGTTTCGCTCTTATTAACCAGGCTGGAGTGCAATGGCGTGATTTCGGCTCACCGCAACCTCCACCTCCTGGGTTCAGGTGATTCTCCTGCCTCAGCCTCCCGAGTAGCTGGGATTACAGGCACGCGCCACCATGCCCAGCTAATTTTTTGTATTTTGAGTAGAGACGGGGATTCACCATGTTGACCAGAATGGTCTTGATCTCTCGACCTTGTGATCCACCCGTCTCAGCCTCCCAAAGTGCTCGGATTACAGGCTTGAGCCACCGCGCCCGGCCCTCTCTTCCCCTTTTGAGTAATGTTTTTTGTACTGAAGTTTTGGCCCTATCTTCATAATCAGCTCTCCATAAGAGGTAGGATCCAGAACTTAAACAAGATTTAGCAGTCTGCTGCCAATCAAAAGAAGTGATCCACTCGCTAGCTATAGTGTCTAATAACTGCAATGTATATGGAGAGGTGGGGCCAAAGTCCTTGACTGCAATCTTTAGTTCCTTTAGCAACTTAAAGGGCAAGGGTTCCCATTGCAGGGGCCCGTGATCCGCTCCAAATAGGACTGGAAAACATTAAAATTCTTTGTTGCCCTCTTTTTGCTTCTTGCATAGCTCTTAAAAACCCAATGCAAGTTGGGGAAATCCTTCCCACTGGCTTGTCTTTTTGGGAAGCTGGAGGAGCTCCCCAAAAAACTCATCATTATGATACCAAGCTGCCTCTTCCTCTAATTCATCTTGATAATTAGGTGGCAATGGCTCATCTTTTCCTTCCTCTTCGTCCTCCAAACTAGTAGCTGTCTCCCTTGCCTATACTGCTATAACTCTTTGCCTTGGTGGTTTTATCACATAAGGGAGCCGTTTCTTCGGCTACCTGCCGGGCTAGACAAGCCAGTTCCTGAGTTGGGTCAAGGCATTCCTTCAGGTCATTCCACAACAAGAAAGCATCTACTGGGTTACCTTCTGGGCCATGGAGAGTGTAATATTGCTTCATGGCTTTTCCCAACTTCATCCAGGTTTCTAAATTTAAGGTTCCCTCCTCAGGGAACCAAGGAGCACACTCTTGTAAGAAACTAAAAAATTCCCTTAGTTGTTTTACTGAAACTCGGATCCCTCTGTTTCCTAGCACATGTCTTGAAATATCAATAAACAATCCTCTTGCTTTTGACTCTGTATGTCCCATGATTACTCGCCCTTTACTCTCATAGCCTATCTTGCTAAGGGGTCTGCAGCACCCTACGGCGAGAGCCTTATCCTTGCCGAATAAGAAAAAAGACTTACCTTCAGGTCCCTGTTCGGGCGCCACCTGCCACGGTCCAGCCGTAGCCAGGTCCAAGAGGGTCCCCGAAGGTGGGCAAAGGCATCGGCGATGAGAAGCAGAGAAGGACACGACTCAAAGGTGTTGTGATTCTCTGTCTGTTTATTACTGTAACAGTGTGGTTTGTATACTTTTACTTTGGACATAACTACAGCATGTAAGCAGAAAATTTTTCTAGGTCAATTCCCTTGACTACATAGAAATAACAAAAGTTATGATTCAAAGGACTAAGATATACTAAAGATAGAGTGAGACTGGGGGTAGAAAAGGTCATGACCTAGATGACTTATGCACTTTTATTCCTCTGTGCTTTCCTCCTTTCGAATCTCTTCTTGTATTTTCTTATACAAATCCCCTCTTCCTTTACAGTATTTCTTAAAGTGTCTTGCCAATTGTTTTAAAACACCAAGTTTTTGTTTCTTTGTTCTTATACACCAAGGTGGTCCTGAATTTGCTAATCTTTCTATAAATGTTAAAGTGTGATAGGGAATGTGCATGCCATCTTTATTAATCATGTTAATGCCATCCTCATTATATGCTCCTGTATATGGAACTGTTGGATCAGGTACTTTTATTACTTTCATGTTCACATTTGCTCCTTTTGGAGGGTACCAAGGTTTCCCTTATATTAGATAGGCTACATTGGGGGGTCCTTGAACTGTAGAGAGAAGGTTGCGAGGTTTATATTCATCGGGTTCCTTAACTTGTTTCTCAGCTTTTGGTGTGGGTGTAACCTCTTTCTGTAATATGTCTGCTTGTTGTGAATTTATCATAAACTGTTTCATAGTGTCTCCTGGCTCAAGCTCTTCCCCTATTATATTTAATATACTCCTACTACATTCTGGACTTTTGGTAATTTTCGATGCTTCAGTGGAAGCAGGGTTTTTTTTTTATCTAATTCAGCTACAAGGGATGTTTTTGAAGATGAAAGAAGTTACATCAAGTAAATGACTAACAGAATCAGCCCAGCGCATCCAAGCATATCCACCCATATGCCTCATCCTTTTCCAGGAAGGCCCCTTCTTTGAAGTTTCCTTCCCAATGTGTGGACCTTGTCAGACAGCATGGGTGGAAAAGGATGCGGCACTTCACATTTCTAGGGTTTTGTACCAGTATGATTACTTTTATGTTTGGAAAGGTCTGAGGTGTTGTTAAAAGCATTGTCACCTCTTTCAGGTTTGCAGAGTTTCTCTCCAGGACGAATTATGTCTGTTAAGAACTGAGGACTTGTTAAAGGCTTTGCTTCATTCTTCACACTTGTACAGTTTATCTCCAGTATTATGTGAGCTAAGGGTTGAAAACTCGTTAAAGCATTCATCACATTCTTTGCATTAGCAGGGTTTATTTTCCACATGAATTTTCATTTTTAGCAAAAGTTGAGGACTGGTTAAAGGCTTTGCCACATTTAACACATTTGTTAAATGTATAAATTATCTTATGTTTAGTAAAGGTTGAGAATTGGTTAAAATTTTTGCCATATTCTTCACACTTTTAGGGTTTCTCTCTAGCATGTATTCTCGTATGTTTGGTAAGGGTTGAAGACTGGCTAAAAGCTTTGCCACATTCTTTACATTTGTAGGGTTTCTCTCCAGTATGAATTATCTTATGCATAGTAAGGTTTGAGGACCGGTTAAAGGCTTTGCCACATATTTCACATTTGTAGGGTTTCTCGCCAGTATGAATTCTCCTATGCATAGTAAGATTTGAGGACTGACTAAAAGCTTTCCCACATTCTTCACATTTGTAAGGTTTCTCTCCAGTATGAATTCTCTTGTGTTTATTAAGTTTGGAGAAATGCATAAAAGCTTTGCCACATACTTCACATCTGTAGGGTTTCTCTCCAGTATGAATTCTCTTATGTTGACTAAGGGTTGAGGACCGGTTAAATGCTTTGCCACATTCTTCACATTTGTAGCGTTTCTCTCCAGTATGAATTATCTTATGTGTAGTAAGCTTTGAGGACTCATTAAAGGCTTTGCCGCATTCTTCACATTTGTAGTGTTTCTCTCCAGTATGAATTATCTTATGTGCAGTAAGCCTTGAGGACTTATTAAAGGCTTTGCCACATTCTTCACATTTGTAGGGTTTTCCTCCAGTAGGAATTATCTTATGTTCATTAAGGGTTGAGGACAGGTTAAAGCCTTTGTGACATTCTTCACATTTGTAGGGTTTCTCTCCAGTATAAATTATCTTATGTGTAGTAAGGTTTGAGAAATGGTTAAAGGCTTTCCCACATTTTTCACATTTGTAGGGTTTCTCTCCTGTATGAATTCTTTTATGTCTAGGAAGGCTTGAGGACTGCTTAAATGCTTTGCCACATTCTTCACATTTATAGGGTTTCTCTCCAGTATGAATTCTCTTATGTTGAATAAGGGCTGAAGACCGGTTAAATGCTTTGCCACATTCTTCACATTTGTAGGGTTTCTCTCCAGTATGAATTATCTTATGTGCAGTAAGCTTTGAGGACTCATTAAAGGCTTTGCCACATTCTTCACATTTGTAGGGTTTCTCTCCAGTATGAATTATCTTATGTGTAGTAAGCTTTGAGAAACGGTTAAAGGCTTTGCCACATTTTTCACATTTGTAGGGTTTCTCTCCTGTATGAATTCTTTTATGTCTAGTAAGGATTGAAGACTGGTTAAATGCTTTGCCACATTCTTCACATTTGTAGGGTTTCTCTCCAGTATGAATTATCTTATGTGTAGTAAGCTTTGAGAAACGGTTAAAGGCTTTGCCACATTTTTCACATTTGTAGGGTTTCTCTCCTGTATGAATTCTTTTATGTCTAGTAAGGATTGAAGACTGGTTAAATGCTTTGCCACATTCTTCACATTTATGGGGTTTCTCTCCAGTATGAATTCTCTTATGTTGACTAAGGGTTGAGGACCGTTTAAATGCTTTGCCACATTCTTCACATTTGTAGCGTTTATCTCCAATATGAATTAACTTATGTGCAGTAAGGTTTGAGAACTCATTAAAGGCTTTGCCACATTCTTCATATTTGTAGGGTTTCTCTCCAATTTGAATTCTTTTATGTTGAGTTAGTAGGGAGAGCATGCAAAATGATTTGCCACATTCTTTACAATTGAAAAGTTTCTTTCCTGTATGTCTTACTTTATGTCTATTTGAGTTTGAAAACTTATGAAAGACTTCCACATATGTATGACATTGAAACCTTCTGCTCTGGGTAGTTGGCAAACATTGATCAAGTCCATTATAATCTCCTCTGTGCAGTTTACACTCATCCACACTTCTGCAGCCTTTCCTTAATTGTAAGTTATCATCTCCACATTTATTGTATCTCCTCAGTATCACTTTTTGGAAAGAATCTTTTATATTTTGCTCTGGCGAAAGTTCTTTGACAAAGTGAGAACACATAACTAAAAGAAATTAAAACAACAAATTACTCCACTTGCTAGACTCAGATAAATATACTTTACAAATCTAACCTGCAAAAGCATACAAATGACATAAGTAAACTAGCATATCAAAACACCACAGGTTCTAATTTCTTCATAAATATATAAATGTAACAAAAACATACTGGTCAAAATACATTTGTAAGAAATTTATAAATGAGTTAAGTGTGTGCAGTGCCACAGGTGAGCACAATGCAAAGAGCTGGGCAGGATGGCTCAGACCTGTAATCCCAGCACTTTGCGAGGCCAAGGCAGGCAGATCACAAAGTAAGGAGTTCGAGACAAGTCTGACCAACATGGTGAAACCCCGTCTCTACTAAAAATACAAAAATTAGCCAGGCGTGGTGGCACTAATCCCAGCTTCTCAGGAGACTGAGGCAGGAGAATCACTTTAACCTGGGAGGCGGAGGTTGCAGTGAGCCGAGATGACGCCACTGCACTCCAGCCTGAGCAAAAGAGCAAGACTATCTTTAAAAAAAAAAAGGAAAAGAAAAGTCTATTACATTTACCCAGCACAGTTCTTCCTGCTCCCTAATATAACACAGTGCCTTCAGAAGTAAATTGCTAATTCCTGGTTTCCATTTTAAAATACCAGAGAAATATTAGCACATACATTTACATTTCTGGCTTCTAGGGGTTTTACCAGACACTGGTTTCAGTTTCCTATGACATAAAATGCTGAAAGAAATGGGGGTATACTTTGGAGTAACAGTTTGAGTCTGCTGAGGCCAAAGATAAATGGTACAGCAGCACAAAGACTGCAGTACTACAGACAGGGAAGAGGTGTAGCCAACGATTACTGACTATTAAAAGAAACATGATCCGTGGCTCACTCCTGTAATCCTAGCACTTTGGGAAGCCAAGATGGGTGGATCAAGAGATCGAGACCATCCTGGTCAACATGGTGAAACCCCGTCTCTACTAAAAATACAAAAAATCAGCTGGGCGTGGTGGCGCGTGCCTGTAATCCCAGCTACTCAGGAGGCTGAGGCAGGAGAATTGCCTGAACCCAGGAGGCGGAGGTTGCGGTGAGCCAAAATCACGCCATTGCACTCCAGCCTGGGTAACAAGAGCAAAACTCCATCTCAAAAAAAAAAAAAAGAAACATGATCCGAGTGGGCATTGGACATTAAATTAAAACACACACACACACACACACACACACACACACAAAGAAACATAAACTTTCACTTCAAGAAAAACAAAACAAAACCCACAAAACTTTAGACAAGATATATTCTAAGAACATGTTTGAGAGACTTACAGAATCTCTAGCCAAGACAATTTGTTTCAGACTATGCCAGGACAAAGCTGTATTACAGACTGTGACAGATAACTTGTTTTTAATTTCCAAATCTCAATCAGATTACAATGTATACAGAGTATTAGGGCAGCATGGGCCCATCAAAAACATAATCCAATGTTCAGAAAGCAATCACAAAAAATGATACAAATACGAAGAAGCTCAACAAACAAACAGGGACACACACACGAGGTATCTGTATCAAACTCATATAAAAGAGCAATTTCAAAAGTCACAGACAAGAAGAAAATCTCAGGAGTGGCAAGACAAAAGTGACGTGTCATTTACAAGCTTAGTCTTATAAGATAACCAGTGAATTTGTGAACAAGAATTTTGCAGGCCAGAAGGCCTGACTGTGTCACATAGTCAAAGTCCTGGGAAAAAAAAACAACTGCAGTGAACTGCGAAAAATAGCATCAGCAAAACTGTCCTAATGAATAAAAAGTAGAAGACACTCCAAATAATGAAATCCTGAGAAAGTATATTGGCACTGCGTATGTCCTATATATCAAAGGTGCTGAAAGCAGTTCCTTCCACTGAAAATAACACGATGCAATAAAACAACACATAATCATATATAAATACTAACTTTGGGGAAAGATATGCACATACCCAATAATAGAATTTCATAACATTACCATAATGGTGCAGAAAACAATTTTAATTTTTCTCTAAAAGTTGAAAGACAAATGCACAGAAATTATACAAACATATATTAATGAATATACAACATAAAAATATATAATTAGCTACATCAATAACAAAGTTAAGAGCAAATACAATGAGGAAGAACTTCTGTATGCAACTTGAGTTAATTTTTTACCAGATTAAAATATATAGCTGTATCTTTTAAGTTTTATGTAATCCCCAAGGTACCAGAAAGGAAATATCTGTATTAGATACATGAAAGAAAATAAGAAATAAAAGCATATCAATACAAAAATAAAAAAGGCAGAAAAAGAGAAAATGAAGGACAAAGAAAAAAGAATACAACAATTAATAGAATTAGTCTTTCTCCTTTAGAAAATTATTTTAATATATATAAAATTAATTTTCCAATCAAGATACGTACTTTCAATAAAGGGATTTATTTGAAAAATTTAAAAATCAAAATCCAACTTGCCTTTCTACAAAGAGGCAGTTGAGATCTAATAAAAAAACAACTGAAAGTGGAAAGATGGAAGTAGACATAGCATGCAAATACTAACCAAAGGAGAGCAGAAGAGGTCAAAATAACGTTAGACAAGCTATATGTTAAGTCAAAAACTGTCATATTTTATATGTACTTGAAGTCAACTGTACCTGAAGACAAAACTCCAAAGGGACAAAAAAGAACATTAAATAATAACAGATTACTTTACTGGGATCCTATAACAAATTTGTGTGCATGTGTGTGTATCTCATTAGTGTGTTGTGTGTGTGTGTGTGTATCTCATTAGTGTGTGTGTGTGCGCGCGCGCGTGTATGTGTGTGTGTGTGTATCTCATTAGTGTGTTGTGTGTATCTCATTAGTGTGTGTATGTGTGTGTGTGTATCTCATTAGTGTGTTGTGTGTGTGTGTATCTCATTAGTGTGTGTGTGTGTGTATCTCATTAGTGTGTGTGTGTGTATCTCATTAGTGTGTGTGTGTGTATCTCATTAGTGTGTGTGTGTGCGCGCGCGCGTGTATGTGTGTGTGTGTATCTCATTAGTGTGTGTGTGTGCGCGCGCGTGTATGTGTGTGTGTGTATCTCATTAGTGTGTGTGTGTGTGTATCTCATTAGTGTGTGTGTGTATCTCAGTGTGTGTGTGTGCGCGCGCGCGTGTATGTGTGTGTGTGTATCTCATTAGTGTGTGTGTGTGTGTATCTCATTAGTGTGTGTGTGTGTGTATCTCATTAGTGTGTGTGTGTGTGTGTATCTCATTAGTGTGTGTGTGTGTATCTCATTAGTGTGTTGTGTGTGTGTGTATCTCATTAGTGTGTGTGTGTGCGCGCGCGCGTGTATGTGTGTGTGTGTATCTCATTAGTGTGTGTGTGTGTGTATCTCATTAGTGTGTGTGTGTGTGTATCTCATTAGTGTGTGTGTGTGTGTGTATCTCATTAGTGTGTGTGTGTGTGTATCTCATTAGTGTGTTGTGTGTGTGTGTATCTCATTAGTGTGTGTGCGCGCGCGCGTGTATGTGTGTGTGTGTATCTCATTAGTGTGTGTGTGTGTGTATCTCATTAGTGTGTGTGTGTGTATCTCATTAGTGTGTGTGTGTGTATCTCATTAGTGTGTTGTGTGTGTGTGTATCTCATTAGTGTGTGTGTGTGCGCGCGCGCGTGTATGTGTGTGTGTATCTCATTAGTGTGTGTGTGTGTGTATCTCATTAGTGTGTGTGTGTGTGTGTGTATCTCATTAGTGTGTGTGTGTGCGCGCGCGCGTGTATGTGTGTGTGTATCTCATTAGTGTGTGTGTGTGTATCTCATTAGTGTGTGTGTGTGTATCTCAGTGTGTGTGTGTGCGCGCGCGCGTGTATGTGTGTGTGTGTATCTCATTAGTGTGTGTGTGTGTGTATCTCATTAGTGTGTGTGTGTGTGTATCTCATTAGTGTGTGTGTGTGTGTATCTCATTAGTGTGTGTGTGTGCGCGCGCGCGTGTATGTGTGTGTGTGTATCTCATTAGTGTGTGTGTGTGTGTGTATCTCATTAGTGTGTGTGTGTGCGCGCGCGCGTGTATGTGTGTGTGTGTATCTCATTAGTGTGTGTGTGTGTGTGTATCTCATTAGGGTTCCTAATAAATAAAGCAAATACTGACAAAATTGAAGAAGCACATAGAGAGCAATATAATTATACTAGGATATTTCAATACTCCACTTTTTGTAATAACAATAAAATGAGACAGAATATTAGTAAGGAAACAGAGGACTTCAAGGCAATTATTTCCAACAACATCAGGATATACACCCTTCTCAATAGCTCATACAATATTCTCCTTGACAGATCATTTGTTAAGCAAAAACATAAATTAAAAAGTCTTAACTAAATTTTTTAAACTGAAATCTTACGGATTACCTTCTATGACCAAAATGGAATAAGAATATAAAATAATAATAGAAAAAGCTGATTAATTTTGCAAATATATAGAAATTAAGGTACACACTCTTGAGCGTGCTCTTGTTCAAAGGTTAAAATGATTACTATTGTAAAACTGTCCATACTACTCCATGTAATCTATAAATTTAATGCAGTGTTTTCCAAAACTGTCACTGCATTTTTGAAGAGATCGAAACAGCAACCCAAAGAGCACAGGGAATCTCAAGAGAAAACAACGTGCACAAAAATCTTCAAAAAGAGGAACAATGTCAGCGGCATTACAGTCCCTAATTTCAAAACACATTAAAAAGCTACAGAATGAAGACAAATTGGTAGGACTATCAAGGTGGAAAGGTGGACTAATCAAATTGAATGCAGGCCACAGATAAACTTTTACAGGCATAGTGATGTAAAGAATGACTTGCATATCCGTAATTATTGCAGCGTTGTTACTAAAGCCGATAGGAGATGCAAGCAAAGGTCACCGAATTATTCAGTATATATAATTTGAGATATAGAAATACTAAAATATCACCCAAGTTTTAAAACGCAGGAAATATTCTAACAACTATAAAGTTAAAACTCAGTGATATTATGCAAAAT